AGAGTCACCCTTGCGAAAATGAAGTTCTTGCGCCTCAAAGCCCTGCTTCACCAGTTCCGGGATCTGAGTGAAAGGGATGGAGCAGCCAAAATCGATGTGGCTGGTCGTTCGTGTCCGCTTGGCCTGATGCTGGGCTTCCATGGCCAACCGTTTCAGGCTGCCGACAGGAGCGGACAGGACCCCGACGGGCGTCGTGTATCCGATCAATCGGATGACGCGTCGGAAACTGAGTCGGGACTGGTAGACCCCGGGGACACACTCGATCTGACAAGACAGCATGGCCGCCGAGATCGCCGCCACCCAGTGTTCGACCTTGAAATGTCCGGCCGTGAAGTTTTGAAGGACGTGCCGAAGAATGGCAAACCAGGTGGCGTGCGTAGACGCAAACCGAGACTTGTGGGCGGCATCCGGACTGGTGCAGCACTCGTAAAGCTCCCGAGAAAAATCAAGTCGGGCTTTGGTCGAAGTGGGGTTCGATGCGACCGAGTATGGAGCGATCAACGTGGACATGACCGGCTCGAATTCTCTATCCGATATCACGGATTAGTTTATCGCCTCGTCGAAGACATCAATATAAAGCGTTGGGTGGTGGTTCAGTACTCACCGCCAAGCAAAGGGATATTTGCTCCGTGACCATCGTTCGAGGAGACTGAATTGATTGTCCAGGAGGCGTTCTGGCGACCCTTGAACCTCGCGGTGATGATCTTCATCTCGGAGCAGACGTTCGATGTTGTACCTGAAAAATGTCACTTGCTGAGGAATCAGCAGCTCCTCAAAGACATTCTCCAACATGCGTGTGAACTGAGTGGGAGCCGACATACTCTTTCCCCCAAGCTCCTGGAACCAGACATGGGTCTGGCGACTGGCGGCCACGGCAGGGCCGTAGTGGTATGCCAAGGCAGCGACATGCATCAAGACAGGACGGTCCTTGGCCCCGCGAGGCCAAAGAGCGACATTGAGGTCCCCTCCCACGGTCTGGAGATCGAGGAGACGCGGATCGATGTAGGGCCAGGCTCCCTGTTCGATGCTGTCAATGGTGTTCAACGGCTTCAAGACGGAACCCATCAAGGAACGAGGGAATCCGGTGAAGCAATAGCTGCCGAGTCGGTCAATCGCCGCCACACCTTCCGCCAACGCCACATCC